TCACACCTGACTTTGAATAAGAACTCTTTATTTCTCTATCTGATCAACCATTTTCTTTTCCTCTCCTTAGATGCGAGATCTGTGGATTCACTTGTCGGCAAAAGGCATCTCTTAATTGGCACATGAAGAAACATGATGCAGACTCCTTCTACCAGTTCTCTTGCAATATCTGTGGCAAAAAATTTGAGAAGAAGGACAGCGTAGTGGCACACAAAGCAAAAAGCCACCCTGAGGTGCTGATTGCCGAAGCTCTGGCTGCCAATGCAGGCGCCCTCATCACCAGCACGGATATCTTGGGCACTAACCCAGAGTCTCTGACACAACCTGCAGATGGTCAGGGTCTTCCTCTTCTTCCTGAGCCCTTGGGAAACTCCACCTCTGGAGAGTGCCTCCTGCTAGAGGCCGAAGGGATGTCAAAATCATACTGTAGTGGGACGGAACGGGTGAGCCTGATGGCTGATGGGAAGATCTTTGTGGGAAGCGGCAGCAGTGGGGGCACTGAAGGGCTGGTCATGAACTCGGATATACTCGGTGCTACCACAGAGGTTCTGATTGAAGATTCAGACTCTACTGGACCTTAGAAGGGAAGACTTTAGGCACTGGGACAGCTCAGACTTTGTATTTAAAAGATAAAAAGGACAAAAAAAAATTTAAAGCATTTAAGATCTAGTAAAATAACTGAAGGGCCTGCTCTTTCCAATGTGGATCACAGCACACACACATATATCTACTCTCTCTCCTCCTCCTGTCCCCTTTATAAAATTGATGTTGCCTTTACCAGAAAGGTAGACAAAAAATACAAAGCTCTTAAAGCGAGGGTTATCCTTATGCTCGGTTCCAGCCAGGCAAACTTTCTGCTGATTAGCAGATTCCCTTTCCCAACCTGTAAATCTTACACGTTCTGGATCAGCTTTTAACTCTTAGTAATATATACTGTCCTATAATTCCCTTCTCCTCCTTTACTGCTGCCCTATGGTCTGGCTTCTACCCACTGCAGCACACTTACTCTCAAAGTATCATATAATTCTAATCTCTGGAGGCTAGCAGCTTGACTTGGCACTTTAGGGCCCCTTAGCAGGGTGAGCTGTTAAAACAGCACACATCTCTCACCCCCTTTTCCTCCGTTCCTCACCTGGTTTCAGAAAGGAAGGATACATACATGGGGACCACTTTGACCCCACCACCTCAGTCCTCCTCCCAACACCTTTATATGGCTCTCAGTGGTGCTCACTTGCTTGGAAGCAGGCTCCCAACAGGGAGGGGACTGCCCTTTACATGGTCCCTTTGACCATAGGACAGGGCTGCATATCAGTGAGACAGAAAAGTCCCAGTTTAATGGCAGAAATTTGCACTTTGAACATGTGTGTTTTTGTGTTGTGGAACCTGAGATTTTTTTATTTATTAACGGAAAGTCTGATTTTTTTTTCTTTTTTTTTTTTGTCTTTGTTGCTATATTTTGTGGGGCTGGGAGAGATTACATTATTCTGACATGGGGTCCTTTCCATAAGAGGTACTTTTGAAGGCAAGATAAAAGGTTGAAGAAGCACAGCCAGCCTCTAAAATCATAGCTCTCCAGTGGCCTTGAAGCTGGTCCTCAGCACTAAAAAAATCACTACAGTAGCTTAGTGCTTTTTCAGAAGCCTTTTTAGGGGAGAATGTTATATTTGTGGTCATTAGTGCTCTGTGAGTTTTTAGAACATTGAGATTTAGGAATTTTGAGGGGATGAGGAAGGTTGTTCAGGGTCTGAATTACAGATACGAGATTTTCTCTTGTGAATTTGTTTTTGTTTTTATTTTGTCCCCATCATTTCTTTACACATACCTCCCTATTGGCCCAACTCTGGCTCCTTGCTTTGTTTTTGTTTTTGCTTTGCTTTATCATTGGTTCATTCCAGCTCCCGATTAGTGAAGGACACTGCCATTATTGAAGGAATAGTCTAGGAGCTGTACAATTTTAAGTCAAAGAAAATGCTCTTGTTTTGTTTCCTAAATTTAGTAACACTTCAGAAGAAAAAAGGCTTCAGTAGACAAAATTAATGTAATAATAGCTTTGGCTTCCACCTGAAATCCTGGGAATTACCACTTCCCTTGAAATAGGGATTTTCATGGGATGGATTGCTTATTACTGTGTATACGTTCGTAACTCCCAGAAGACAAAAACCTATTTGGGCTCATTTTTAGGGAATTAAAAGGGCAATTTCTGTCCTGTGTACCTCAGAAGTTGGAATTCAAGGCTTGCCCTATGCATTGTTTGTCAGAAATGTGTGATGGCTGTTGGAAAGAATGAAGTTTTGCTGAGAACAAAAGGAACAGCTTGTTTTTCACAAACACTAAAACTACAAAGTTTATCAATTTTCTCTCTTGATTTTTTTTCCCCAAGAAGAGGGTAACAAAATGTCATCTCTGAAAGAGGCTTACTTGACACCCACTAGTGTCCATGGCTGGGATACCAGGGAGTGGGGAGTGAGACACCTACAGTGCACAGTCTTAAATGCACTATTGTTTCTCTTCAGCATGTGGCAGCATTGCCATCCCTCCAGTGTGGGGGTAGAAAGTGGAATAAGGATAGAAGGGATGTAGAATGTGCTTTCCTGCCCACAGTAAGGATTTGGAGTTGACTTTGGTATGTTGATTAGATATGAAAATATATATGACTGACTGGGTGGGTCTACAACAAAGTTGTTCTCCCCTTACCACCCTCCCCCATAGAAGTCTATTTTGTACTGTTTCACTAGCTAACATCCATTCCCCATATTTACCTTTATCTTTGTTACATTTATTTTACCCTTTGTGTCCATAAATTACATCTTTGGTAGTTAGTAATGAGATATTTTAGCCATGTACATGAAAGCAAACTGCATTAAAAAAAAATCTTTATGAGATAGAGGTAAATATGTTCTCACACTCCTCTCCCTGTCAGAGTTCTAATAATTGAAACTGTCTGTTCTTTCTCCCTTTGTTGTCCTTTTCATAGCTACCATTTGCCTATAATATGCTTCAATAAATTATTATAGCAGTTTGCAATAAACTTTTAAGTATTTTTCATGGACTTTATCTTTTTCCTTTTGAGATGAGGATGCTAGCATAGGAAAGAATTGGTATATGTACTGGGCCCTCTTCCCTTTTTCTTTTCTGCTCCTCATGCTGTTTACTTTGTTGTCCTTCCAAGGAGCTCTTTGAATCTTAAAATTCTGCATTTCCTACTCCTAGTCAATTCTGTTATCTTTTTCCCCCACTGCATATTCTCCATCTTGAATTGGCAATTCTAGAGTCTGAAAATGTAGTTGAGATACAAGCATTATTTCTGTGCTTCCCCCTTGTTTGATTGCCCAGGATTATTTTCCATAATTGAGACCTAATATGCTTCAGAAAGTTTAGATAAACACTGGCCAGGATTACTGGGAGTAAAAAATATATATATTAAGGTATGGAAAGGCATCCACATGAGCACTTGAACCTCCTTTGTACTTGTTTGGAGAAAAAAATATAAAAGAGTGTATTAAATCTGAGGTTATTACAGTCTGGTTGTTTGAAATTCCATTTTTCTCTCCTGTCTTTTTCCCACTTTCCAATGTACTCAAGAAGATTAAAAAATTGTAATGGATCAATTTAAAATATTTTTATTTCCTTAAAGCCTTTTTGCCTATTGTAATGTGCAGGACCCTTCTCCTTTTATGGGAGAGACAGGTAGTTACCTGAATCTAGGTTGAAAAAGTTATGTAAAAAGAAATTATAATAAAAGGGATAATCTGCTTTTCAAATTCTTGTTTTCTCTTAATCTAGGTAAGACATATCCAAAATAAATATGTAAAGAAGAAAATAAAATTGTCTTCATGGAAGCAACTCGTCTTCCTTGGTTGTGCTGAGTTACAGTTGTCCCAGGGTGAAACAATTGATGCTGCTAAATAAGAAAACCAGGTGCCCTCGGAGCAGGCTTTATGTGGCAGATACTGTTTGCTCTGTGGAAAATCGGGGGGTTAACTTTTGACTGTGTTTAGTTCTTGATTTCTAATGCTGAAATGCCATGTGATCAGTTGGCAAAGTGCTAACTTTAAAAAAAAATAGTATCCTTTTACCTACGTGAAAGACTACTGTGACAGCCGCCCATGCTTCATTTCTTTCTCTCTTGTTTTCCTCTTTTGTTTACATATGGACATTTGCCCTTGAGAAGGCATGTTTCAATTTAGAGGCAATGTCTATGATAGGAAATAGTGAAAGCTAATTGATTCATTTGAAGTTGAGACTTGCAACTTCTACCAATTAGCACCATCCTCTAACCTACTGAGTTAAATGCAATAGAATAGCAACTCTACAGCTGCTTTGAAACTCTTTTGCCCTCATTTCAAAGCCCAACTCATTATCTTATTTAGTTAAGAAGCATGTGGTATAACTGCGATAAGGAAGAAAAAGAAAAACGTGTTGTCACTTGAGTGAGACTGCCTTAGTAATGTTACCATGTCAGGGTTGGGTGTTTACTGTCCTTTGGAAAAGAACAGGCCTAAACAGTATCTTCCTCATCCTGTAGCTATGAGGAAGGCACTGTGATTGAGATCAGAGATGCCTTCTTAGCTAATTTTTAATCAAATGTAAATTAACTTTAAATACACAGCGAAAGGATGGGAGTAAAAAGCTGTATTTATTTTAAAGGACCTTTTTCACATAAACTTACTTTCTTGAACAAAATGTGAGCTACCTAGACAATGAAATTGAAAAGTCAGTGGGAGAAACAGATACAGAATCAAAGACCTACATTTAAATTTTGAGCCTAAGTTATTGTATTTTGTGTTCATAAGTTTTTTTTTAATGTAAGATGAGGTAAGTAATATTTATCTCAGAATCATTCTGAAGATCAAAGGCTTTACAATCTTGAGCAGTGTCTGGTCCAGGATAGGTTCTTACTAAATGGCAGCCATATCAATAATAATGATGAATATTATTGAAGACTTTACCAAGCCAAAAAGAAAAAGAAAAGGACATGGGGAGCACAAGGGAGAGTGGTAATAAAATGCACTGATTATATGTGTATATAAAATAGATTGCATTAGGTATCATGAGGATTAGTGTGATAGTGACCTTGTTGCTAAGTGCAAAAGCAAAACAATGACATAAAAACAAGTAGGCTAGGCACTCAGTGGAGGAGAGAGATGGAGGCAGACGCTGCAGGAAAAAAAAGCTTGGTAAAAGGGGCCTTTGATTCCACAGGCACAAAAATCCACAGCCAGGAATTTGCTGCCACCTCTGAGTCAGGCAGGGGGTGGGGGTGGGGAACACCATTCCTTTAGAGAATGCCCAGTGGATTTAGTCTGAGTGTCACATTTCTTATTTGGAACAGTGTAGATAGAAACAAACTCAGCTCACTTGTTTCCTGGGACAGTTGAGTTAGGGGATGGCTTTCGCAGAGCACTCACCGCTGACCCCTCACCGTCGGGATCTCTGTAGCCGCTCCATCTGGCTAGCAAGAAAGATTCGTTCAGACCTGACCGCTCTTATGGAATCTTATGTAAGTTGCCTATTTTGCTGTAGTCTATTTTGACTTCATCTATTCTGATCCAACCCTTTACCATCATGCTTCAGCCCCATTACCAATTGTGAAAGCCCTAATACAGTCAGTTGTATAGTGGGCACATATCATTTGATATGGCCCCTTCCCTTAAGGAAACTTACATGAGTTTATTTCCTTCCTCTAGGTTTTTTAGGAGATATGTTCCTGAGTAAGAAAATATCCATGGGTGCTAGGTTGGGTTGGCTATATGTCTTGGAAGCTGTTTCTAATTTGATTGCCTACAATCTGAATTCTATCAGAATAGATTAACTATGAACCCTTTAAGTTTGGGTTCTTCATATAGGTTGTTCTGAATTTTTGAACTATGTAAATGAAAGGCAGAGTAAGGTTTATAGGATTGGGAGAAAAGCAGTGTAAACCCAACCAATTTCTCCTATATAGTATTAGCCACCCACTTTTAAATTACACACATCAAAAGTGTTTCTGGAGCGCCCTGGCTTGGTTGGTTGGCACATTGTCCCATGCACCAGAAGGTTGAGGGTTCCATTCCCGATCAGGATATACCTAGGTTTCAGGGTCGATCCCTAGTCGGGGCATGTACAGGAGGCAACCAATCGATGTGTCTCACATTGATGTGTCTCTTCTTCCATTCCTCCCTCTCTAAAATCAATATATAAGGAAAAAATTGTTTCTGGATCTAAACAGAAAGGTCACCTACACTATCAAGAAGATTTCCTTTAAGATTCTCTGGGAAGTGTTATATTCTTAAAACATTAACCATGGGTTCCAGATTGGTTTTCTGATAGTAGGAGATTCTCTACCTAAGAGCTTCTGTGAAAACACTCCAGACCCTGTGGAGAATATCTGCACAGCCCCACCAGTTTTTCCAACTGATTTCCACTGAATCCTCTAAAGCAGTGGTTGCCAACCTTTCGGATCTCACGGACCACCAGTGGTCTGTGGACCACCGGTTGGTGACCACTGCTCTAAAGGATTGTCCTCACTACAGAGAGTAGGCAATGGAGAAGAGATTAGAAAAAAAGTCCTATGGCTACATTCTAGGGCTTCCTCACTGTGGCCAGTGTCTTCAAGTATGTTTAAAATACTTAAAAACTTCAGTATGATTAAAATGGCCAGGAGGAAGTTTGAAGTGGGAAGGACAAGTTACTCCAGACAAGTGGTTTTCAACCTTGAGAACCTAAGGAAAATGGCACATTCTCCCAAGAAAAATAAACAGGTAGTCAAAGCAATTTGTATAATTTCAGGGACAAAAGTATCTCCTGAAAGTCCAATCGTGGACCCTGAATCAAGAGTTTCTGTTCTACATTTTATTTTCTTTATCATTTGGATCCATGACCAGGGAGATGAATAAGATTTTATATGAGATTTAGGGATTATTTAAGTGAGAATGTGATGTTTTTCTGTATCCTTGGCCAGGTGAAGCATCAGGGCCTGAACGAGGACATGGACCTGGATTCCGTGGATGGTGTGCCAATGGCAAGCACTGATCGGTGGAGTGAGCTGCCTGAGGCAGAGCGACTCCTAGAGAACCTCCAAGCTTATCGTACCTTCCATGGTATGTTGATCAGGCTTTTAGATGACCAACGGGTGCATTTTACTCCAGCTAACAGTGACTTCCATCAAGCAATACATACCCTTCTACTCCAAGTTGCTGCCTTTGCTTACCAGCTGGAGGAATTAATGGCGCTCCTGGAACTCAAGATCCCCCCCAGTGAGGCTGATGAGATGCCTGAAATTGTTGGAGATGGTGGTCTCTTTGAGAAGAAGCTGTGGGGCCTAAAGGTGCTGCAAGAGCTTTCCCAGTGGACAGTGAGGTCCATCCATGACCTTCGTGTCATTTCTTCTCATCAGACTGGGATCTCAGCACATGGAAGCCGGTATATTGCTAATGACAAGAAAACATAGCAGTTAGTCCGGCTGGAGTGGCTCGGTTGAGTGTCATCCTGTGCACTAAAAGGTTGCTGGTTTGATTTCCTGGTCAGGGCACATACCTGGGTTGCTGGTTCAATCCCTGGTTGGGGCACATATAGAAAGAAGGCAACTGATTGATGTTTCTTTCTCTCTCTCTCTCATCTTTCCTTCCCTTTGTCTCTGCCTCCCTTCCTCTCTCTAAGCATGTCCTTGGGTGAAGTTCAACAGCAACAAAAGTAGCAGTTACCCATCTCTCTCTTCCTTTCTTTCCTAATGGAATATTTATAGTTTTCTGAGGCCTCACTTTGCCATTCTTAAATTTTTTAAAACCTTTGAGACCACAGGCATTTTCATCGAGTAAGGCTGGAGACCTAGACAAATGGGAATACAGGTTTAGTTGGTGGGAGTATGGGGGTGATGCTGAGACCGTATGGGAATGGGGCAGGGGCACCATTGTTCCAACTCAATGCTCTAACCTTTCCTACCCACTAAGTAACCTCTACAGACATTTGACATTTAACAGCCTCACAGGGCACATATATATATTTTTAACTCTAGTTCTGGAAGACTACTAAGAGGACTATAACAGGAAATTAAGAATCATGGACTCTATTCAATTCAAACTCTTGGAAAATAAAGATAGTACCTAACATTTATTGAGTATCTACTATATTGAAGCAATATGCCAGGGGCTTTATGTATATTACCATTTTTACAACCATGATGAGGGACGTGGTGTTATTCCCATTTGGCAGATGAGGTAACAGGTTCACAGAAACATATAATTTGTTTGAGATGACCCACCTAGCAAATGGTGCACTAAGTTTGAACTCAGATCTTTCTGATTTCAGAGCCTATATGCCCTTCACTTAGAGGCCTGATATGAACCTCTATCACTGCACCTTTGCCACAGAGGGTTGGAAAATGGATCCATGGAGTCTATCCCTAGCACTGAAAAAAACAACCCCCTTACGGTAGTCCCACTATCTGCAGTTTCACTTTCCATGGTTTGTTATCCATGGTCAACTGCAGTACAAAAATATTAAATGGAAAATTCCAGAAATAAGCAATTTATAAGTTTTAAGCTGTGTGCTGTCCTGAGTACTGTGATGAAATCTCATGCAGTCTGCTCCATCCCGCCCTGGACATGAATCATTCCTTTGTCCAGGGTAGCCACGCTGTATACACTGACCCACCCGTTAGTCACTTAGCCATCTCAGTTATTAGAGATCACATTCACATAACGTTTATTACAGGATATTGTTATAATTGTTTTATTCTTCGTTATTGTTCATCTGTTATTGTTAAGAAAAAACAGGGTTCTCTACTATCTGCATTTCAGGCATCTTCTGGAGGTCTTGGATGTCTCCCCATGGATGAGGGGGGGACTACTGTACATGTCCTGAAGGGCACAATGTTAGTGTCAATGTTGTCCATTCTCGTCAAAGAAGAGAGCAGTAGAGATGTGAAGATTCTGCTTGGGGAAAAGATTAGGCCCACCTAACTTCTAAACTTGGGAAGCTGGGGGTGTGCGGTAATGCTTCGTGCTTCAAAATGTCCACCAATGTTGGTGAGTTCGGGGTTGGGCACACATTTATTGTAATCAGCAATGCTGCAATACAGTTACTAACCCAAGCATTCATGGACGATGGGGGGAATACTGCTCAGGTTAAAAAGTCACAGAACTACTTCACCACACATTCTCTGGACTTAGTCATGAGGAGAGGGTGAGGCCCACTCTGTTCCCAGTGGGAAAGCCAGTGGTACTAAAACAATACACAGCAAAGCCTCCATGCTTCACAACAAAGCGGCAGCACTCTGTGTTTAATGTCTTTGAGAGAAAGAGTAGGACAAGCGCCAACCAGTAAAGGAGGGCATTAATGGAAAAGTTCACTGGCAGTTGGGCCTATGAACTAGTACAAATGGGAATCCAAAAGTTCTCAGGTAGGCGTATCATTTCATAACACCAATCAATTAAGATGCAAGACCTTGGATTGGGGGGGGGTCCCAATAAATTTCATATACCTATTTGGAGTTTTTTGTATTCTTAAATGAGCCATGTGTCAGAGAGAGCTAGCTCACATAGATTGCATGAGATGGAATGGGTGACTTACCTTGTGTCCTTTCCCACATGGGTGCATGAAGTCAATATGTGAAAACTCTGTGATAGGAATTAAGGCAATACAAGGGAAGTAAGGCCCCATTGTCTAGTATGGAAACAAAGTTGTATGCATATAAGAGATCAATAGTAGGTTGGAGTTGGGCATGGGTTTAAATGTTATGGAATTAAAGGAAGGAGCTCACCCTTACCAGTTTGGCTTAGTGGATAGACTGAAGGGTCCTGGGTTCGATTCCAGTCAAAGGCATGTACCTTAATTGTGGGCTTGATCCCCAATGTGGGGTGTGCAGGAGGCAGCTGATGTTTTTCTCTCAATGTTTCTAACTCTCTATCCCTCTCCCTACCTCTCTGTAAAAATAAATAAAATATGTTTAAAAACAAGAAGGAGCTCAATGAGGACCAGAAATCACTTATTCCTGGAGGAGGGAGGAGTTAGTTGTGCCTCAGTGGTTGGATGAGTATCAAATCAATAGAAATCAAGAGAGAAACAGGAAAAAGAAGAATGTGAGGCAATAATATCCCTAGAAGACCAGCTACCCCCTTGAGGTTTATTGTTTGGTTTTATTTCATTTGTGATTTTGGTGTAGGTCGATAGTCCCCAGTGAGTGCATAGAGGTTTATTTAATTCAAGCTTTTCCTATTTAAATTGTTTCTTCTGCTTACAAGCAGTATTTCTGATTGATAAAGTCCTGCTTATTGGTGTGGAGTTCTTAAGTTTATATAGTATTTTGGAAGGCAGCTATGCTCACCACTATACCACCAACGCTTATATAGTATTTTGGGCTCTTTGTTTAATGGGGAAAGATGACCATAAAATTTCTTAATGGGAAATAAAAAACATTACAAACTTGCTAAATTTAAAAAGCATGACCCCTCTTCAAGGGTTTTGCTTCTATATTTGGATGTTGCAGTGCAGAAGTTTCAGGGATCCTTGGAGCATGGCATAAGCTCTGCTGAGTTGCACATGAAGGAATGTTTATGCATAAGAGGCACATTTGAAGTGGCAGAGAGTCCAGAAAAGGTACAAGTACTAACCACTGACTGGGAGGAAATAGGAAGATGTGTAAGTAGCAGGTCTGTTGAGTGCACCTCCAGCACTGTGCTGTGTATCCATTTCTTCAAGAAACTCACAGGATCCTCCAAAGACGTGTGGGGAGACTCCTCAGAAAAAAAAGATGAAGGAAGGGGAAAATGAGCACTTAGCTATAACAATAAAGACGAGCATGCATGGGTCTGCACGTTAGACATCGCATCATGCCTACCTGAAGTGGATGAAACAAACTGAATGAGGGTTTGACATTAGGCCAGGGCTGTAAGTGCCTGTCCTATAACACAAGGAAAATGGTGACCCTGGGAGTCTATATATTTTTAACCATCCACAATCCAAAAGAGATATTTGATCTTTAGATATCAGTTCTTTTCCTCATATCTGTATATGGATAGGATCTCTGGGGAAATAATATTTTTATATACATATAAACTATATATATAAATCAGGCCGACGCTCCATCCACTGAGCCAAACCGGCCACAGCGCCCCTATCTCTTATTTTGTAAAGAGGATTCCTTCCATCTCACTGTCTCCAGAAACGCTCCTTTCATGGGGAAAGAGACTATTTTCCTGACTGTCAAAGAATCGCATGTGTGAGAGTTGATAACTTCCTCCTGAATTATTTCAAGAGAGCCATTTGGAAAAGATTTGCAAATTAGCACAAACTTGAAGGCCAAGCATAGAATAAAATTAGCTTTAAGATAATCAAGTTTGAGGGAAGTGAGAGTTTTAATAAAAATGGAAAGTGTAAAGTCATAGCCCTGGTATGGCTGTTATTTCAGGACGCTATGGATTAAAGCCCAGTGGATGACTCATCATGGTGACTGCTGGTCAAACCATGAGAGGACAAGTAAATATTCAGGGAGACATATCTGAAATGTTTAGAATGATTTTTGTAAATCCCCACCTGTTAGAAACATCGATGAGAGAGAAACATCGATCAGCTGCCTCCTGCACACCCCCCACTGGGGATGTGCCCGCAACCAAGGTACATGCCCCTGACCGGAATCGAACCCGGGACCATTGAGTCTGCAGGCCGACTCTCCATCCACTGAGCCAAACCGGCCACGGCGCCCCTAACTCTTATTTTGTAAAGAGGATTCCTTCCATCCCACTGTCTCCAGAAACACTCCTTTCATGGGGAAAGAGACTATTTTCATGACTGTCAAAGAATCACATGTGTGAGAGTTGATAACTTCCTCCTGCATTAATTCAAGAGAGCCATTTGGAAAAGATTTGCAAATTAGCACAAACTTGAAGGCCGAGCATAGAATAAAATTAGCTTTAAGATAATCAAGTTTGAGGGAAGTGAGAGTTTTAATAAAAATGGAAAGTGTAAAGTCATAGCCCTGGTATGGCTGTTATTTCAGGACGCTATGGATTAAAGCCCAGTGGATGACTCATCATGGTGACTGCTGGTCAAACCATGAGAGGACAAGTAAATATTCAGGGAGACATATCTGAAATGTTTAGAATGATTTTTGTAAATCCCCACCTTATGAAGTAGCTGAGAATAAGGTGGTGGTGGGGGAAGGAGCTTTCATCAGGATAAGAAAGGGGTTGGTGAAGAGGAAAAGGAGAAAGAATAGAATTTGGATATAACTTTAATTGATTTATTGTGTGCATGGGTGCATATGTACATACATGTGTGTTGCCAGCATTGTTTAGCTCAGGACATTTAAAAGAATGGTTTGGCCTTTTGTCTCATTCCACCTAGGCTTGAAGTCTCAGATCCAAGAATGACCCTCTGAATGATGATGATACATTCAAAAAAAATGTGACAAAAATTTCCTCTATCTGCTTAAAAGCTTCTATAGAGCTCAAAGTATTCAGGGAGACATATCTGAAATGTTTAGAATGATTTTGTAAATCCTCACCTTATGAAGTAACTGAGAATAGGGTGTTGGTCGGGGAAGGAGCTTTCATCAGGATAAGAAAGGGGTTGGTGAAGAGGAAAAGGAGAAAGAATAGAATTTGGATATAACTTTAATTGATTTATTGTGTGCATGGGTGCATATGTACGTACATGTGTGTCACCAGCATTGTTTAGCTCAGGACATTTAAAAGAATGGTTTGGCCTTTTGTCTCATTCCACCTAGGCTTGAAGCCTCAGATCCAAGAATGGACCTTCTGAATGATGATGGTACATTCAAAAAAATGAATGTGACAAAAATTTCCTCTATCTGCTTAAAGCTTCTGTAGAGCTCAAAGGTCTACAGATAAATACAGACAAAAAAATATAATTTGTTCTTTTGATGTAATGTGTGTGGGGCATGAGATAAGAAAATCCACGTGCATGTGATTCTTATAGTACTTGGGTGGATCAATTTTGGGCAAATAGAAAATAAAAGATGCAGGAACGGCTCACAATAAAGATCTCACCTCAGCAAGATCATGAGTTTGCTTCTTTTATTTCTGTATCTTTGGATGAACAAGAGGAATTTCAAGTGATTTCAACTTTGTAATCTTCCCAGCCAGGCCAGGCTCAATCAGGCGTGCTGGGTAAATCTCCATGAAGCCAGGCCCTAGGGTAAATCTCTGCAGGCCACTCAGCTTAGGAAAGGTGGACTGCCCCTACACCTGCCAGCTTGCTTGCAGATGGGGAAGATTTTCTTTAATATGGTTTAATCTCAAGTATTTGAACTCCAATCAAGCCTTTCAAAGACAGAAGAACTCTGACTACCTCATTTCTGGTCAGTTTGAGGATAGAAACTGAGTTGTGGAAAATCGCATAGGGGAAAATATAAAAAAAAAATTGCTAATAGATTTTGTGTTTTTAACTACCTGCTTAAGGTGGCATAAAATGAATACTGCATTTACTCATGTCAGGCATCTCTACACTATTTCATGTCATTTAATCCTCTGAGATACGATCTCTCTTTCGCAATAAGGGGAATGAAAATGAACATTACTGGTCTAAGCCCCCTGCTCCAATGCTATCTGATAGGACTGCAGTTTTAGTTCTGTCTATGAAGGTCACTCCACCCCACTGCCATGGGACATCTAGTAATTGAGATCATCTTATCCTGCAATTCACTTGTTTTTAGACAAAGCCAGTACAGACTTGTACCAAATCTTGCTCTATGGCAAGTTCTATGAAGTCTCCAAACTTCGGGACAAATTACTTTTTCTGAGCTTCCTCATGTATGAAACAGAAAGGACAAATACTATCTTCACAGGTCGTCACATGATTTAGACAAACTTGAGTATCTGAAAGTACTTATAAATGACATACAAACATCCAGTGTATTTAAGGTCTGGAATAGCTTGGATTAATGTAAGACTTCAGACTGAGGAGAGGGTTCTGTAAGCTTTTCAGAGATCCATCTGGTCACAGCCTAGACTCCGCTCTGCCCTGCCCTTGGGCCTTTGGCCACTAGAGACTGACCCAGTCTCACACAGCCTCCAGGAGTCATCTACCTGTGAAGAGTTGAGACTCGGGCTGTTCACTGCACCCAGAAGATGGCTTTCACAGTAGGCGGGTCAGACAAGTTCTGGAGAAGCCTGGCAGGCTCTCTGGATAGCCAAGGAAACATGCAAACCAAGGCACCACCCAGGATGTGTTAAAGCCTGCATTTGGATGTATAGCTATCCTGCCATATGTCAGCACCCTCCTGTTAATACAGGAAGGAACTCAAAGTTCATTTATTTCTATCCCATCATTAAACACAGTACAATGGAGTCAAAAAGGTTCAGTAATCCATTCCAGTGTCCCAGCTAGAAAATAGAACTTAGTCCAGGACATTCCCTCCCATTGCACCTCCCTGCTTCCCCATTAGACCAACTTCATCTTAGGAAACATTGGGTATCTCTGTTTACATTCTCATTACTCTTCACCCAGTGCTCTCTAGCATCCTTATCTCCAATCAGCCTTTGGGAGCCTGGGAACAGCAACTCAACACACACTTTACTTTAACCAAGATGCTAAAATGATTGACATTATGAAAGTTGAGCATTCTTGCTCTGACTAGCCTGGGAACTTAAACTTTTTGAACTTTTCAGTCCTGTAGATAACTCTCTGAATACCCCCTAAAGGACACACGTATCCAGACCTACTGACATCCGTCATCCAGACTGGCCAATCTAATAACCATCCTGGACCAATCCTAGGGATAAGAATATAGGACTGATTATTCTCAACAATGCACTTTTTACTAAAAGAATCCTTAACTTTTCTTTCTTTTTCGGAACACTTTTCCATTTTTGCCTAGCTGTGTTCCAAGCTTGCAAACTCTAAGACTCTTGAATAAATCTTTATTATTTGTTTCTAGCCAAAGCCTCCAAACTCTTCCGTCCTTTCAACATATATGGTGTCAGTATCATGGCATCTGGTGCTGCTGCTGGATTCCAGCAAGGTACCTTCTTGAGCCTTTGGTACTCTGTCAGCTTCATGACTGCCCCTGGATTCCAGTGGTGAGTTCTATTGGTTCAGAGCTTTAATTCTTGGCTCCTCTGATACTGTTTCTAGTAGCAAGTGCCCACTTTCTCTAAGTCTGTTTATGGAGGGACAACCACATTCATTTTACAGTGCCAGCTGATTTTATAGGCTGTTCTCTGCAAAATATTTGTCTTGATGGACTTCTGATAAGGACCGTTTGAAATTACAGTGGCCACTTTGTGTATCTTTTGAGATTCTGAAATTAATATGTTTACATGCACAATTAGAAAATCTTAGCTCTGCTAAACAAGCTGAGTGATATTTAGAGGCCCCTAAGAAATTCAATGGTTCAAAGATAGCCTCCCTCCAAGAAACAAATTTGAAACTAACTAAAGCAAGTTCTGGACTAAACAAAAAGAAATTTAAACTCACTTATTATTGTGCAACTTCCTTGGCCAACCAATAAGAAAAAGATTTCATAGGGGAGCACACAGACATACATTCTATAAACCTGTTTTCCAGGCCCACTCCCATTCCCAAAACTAATGAGCTTACAGATAAACTCCCTGGGGCTTTTGACTGATATCTCTTTTGTCTCCCCCCCCCACCCCCCCACCCCCAGCTGTGACACCTTTAAGTGGAGTTTTTTTAAAAAAAAAAAATTATTGATTGATTTGAGAGAGAGAAAGGGAGAGAGAGAAAAACATCAAATTGTTACTCCACTCATTTATGCTTTCATTGGTTGATACTTGTATGTGCCCTGTCCAAGGATCAAACCACAACCTTGGTATATCTTGACCATGCTCTAACCAACTGAGCTATCTGGTCAGGGCCAACACTCATCTTTAACATAGAATTTTCATCCTCTAAAAGTCCCCAAAAGCTCTTTCCTCAGGAACTCTAGCTAGTTATATGTACAAATATTATGGTCCCTCCTCATCTGCCTTTTGAATAAAACCGACCAACTTAGCCAAAATAATTTAAAATTCTAACAGCCATTAAGGAATAACTTCAATTCCACCTCCAGGGCCCTTCCTTAGAGAGGGAATTCTAAACCTCTCAGGGACATGGAATGTATTCTTTGATTTGCAGAAGCTTCTAAAGAAAACAAACTTACCTTAAAAAAACAGCTCTAGAAGAATCCCAAAAGAAACTTTGATCATCTGAGCAGGTAATGAAAAGCAAGAATCTCCTGTAATAGGCTAACAAAAAAAAATTGAAGATGTAAGAAGTACCTAAAACAAAAGCCTGTAAGACCAATTGGTATTTATCCTGTCTCTCCCAGAGATAGCTGTTGCCTGTGCCCTAAAGGCTTGGCTTGACTTTTTGCCTGCCTGGTGTTATTGAACAGAAAGAGGTCATCCACCCAGGGCTGGCAGAGCCAAAACTAAGCACCGAGAAATATTGCAGCGGAGAAATATTGGCTATTTATTTATAATGACACCATCCAGCAAAACGGGAAGCTAATACTCAAAGCCCAAACTCCCCCATGGCCTTTAGGTAACAGATTATATAGGGCAAAATCACAAGGCACCATTGGTTTGAGATTGGGGTTGTTGGGAGCTGATTGATCAGAAGTGAGGTAAGGATAGTGAATCATTTCTTCAGGTCTTGAGGACAGTTCTAAGGTCTGTTTCAGTGACCCTTTGTTGGGAAGTAGCCAGAGGGTCATTCCACCTCAGGGCTCAGGAGCTGAAGCATAACTTAGGTCAAGATGTTATCTTTAGCCTGCAGAGGTCCAGGCACTGTCTTCTGCTGCCTGGGGGTTGCTGATGAGCAGGGGGCAAGGTTAGGTGTCTGAGGGTTGTAGAAGGAAAAAGAAAGAGATGGTTTCTAAAGCTAGAATTTAAAACTAAATTTAATGGAACTCATAGGACCCTCAGTTTCACTGGGAGGAGCAGGCTGTCAATTATTTCTTTTGGCTCTCAGAGGAAATGATCCTGGGAGATAAGGACCTGCGTATCCTCTAGAGTCCATGAAATTATTTAATATGGCCAGAAATATTTATCCACACTGAAATCTGACAGATTTGAAAGGATTTGATAACTTTTTATCAGAAATTTGACAAAATTGGAAGCTAAAAATGCAAAGCCTAGAACAACAAACCTCTCTCTTTCTTTCTCCCTCTCTTCCTCTCTCTCTCTCTAAAATCAATAAATAAAATTTTAAAATATATGGGGGAAGGAGTGGGGAGAGGACTAGCTGGGAATTATATTAAGTTCTATATGAAGACTGGGCTCAACTGTAAGGGCCTTGAACTTTAAATTCATTTTATAGGCAATGTGGAAGCATTCACGGTTTTATTTTTATTTTTTTAAAATATATTTTTATTGATTTCAGAGAGGAAGGGAGAGGGAGAAGGAGATAGAAACATCAATGATGAGAGAGAATCATTGATTGGCTGCCTCCTGCATGCCCCCCACTGGGGATCAATCCAGGCATATGCCCTTGGCTGGAATCAAACCCAGGACCCTTCAGTCCACAGGCCAACACTCTATCTACTGGCCAAACCAGTAGGGCCATTCACGGTTTTAGATCAGTGACCCTCTTATAGTCAGCATAAAAGAGACCACAATAAGAAGGAAGGGAAAGGAAAGAAGGAAAAATCACCAGGGGTCAGGTCAGTTCTTCTGCCTTAGTCCTAAAGGGAACTGCAAGGGTCCCCTTGTCTAAATCCAAGTGCAGAGCGTCCTCTATTCCGACAGTCACCAGAGTTTAGTAGACCTAAGGCATATCAGAAACCACCCCACTCTCCTTCTCTCATCTTGGGCAAATTTGCGTCTCCCCAAAAGGGTTTAATTTTTTTTTTGTCGCACCACCTCCCTCTCCACATGAGTAAGTCCTGTCCTGCTTTAAGATTCAGATCATATTTCAACTTCTTTGTGAAAACATCCCTGGTCAATACACTTATATTACTGCCCTGTCATCTTTGCTGTGACTGTATCTTATACATTATCTCTCACTATTGCATCTACTTCTGACTACTATTACTACCACTGCCACTAACAACAACGATTATTTTGAATTCTGACATTGAACTAGATGCTCTTCAGCTCAGTAATCCTCACAACATCCCATCACACTTGATGCAATCATTTCCACTTAACAGACAAGAGAACCAAAGCTCAGAAAGGTTAAATGACTCACCCAACATTGCAGAACGGATAACTGGCAGAACTGGTATTCAAATTGAGGTATTTGGGTGTACAAGCCGTACTTTTTCTTTACATCACGATCATAGGACTGCGTATTAACTGTTTGTGTGTATGCCTCTCTCTCCTGCTGGCATGTGGGCTCCTTGGAGGCAGGGGCTGCATCTTCCTTGGTATGATGGGAGGGCCGGTTTGTGTGACAGTCTCTCAGTCCCCACTTGGTTACCATGGTGTTGAAAGGATGAATACATCTTGGCTCTGTTGGACAGTCTGTGCTTAATCTGAAAGGTTAACAAACTATTTCTTAAAGGGGCAGATAGTAAATATTTTTAGGCGTGGATGCTACAAGATCTCTGTTGTAGACTCTGCCAATGTAGCATGGAAATAGTTACAGACAGTATGGGAACAAATGAGTGTGGCTGTGTTTCAATACAGCTTCCTTTGCAAAAGCAGGCGCCCAACCTGGGAGTCCTGTGCGCTTACCCATATTTATATGAACGTTATGCTTCAGAGCTTTGAATTCTTCTTTTAAGTTTTGAGGAAGTTGTAAGGGAGTAAGACTTTATTCCTACTCCTCTTAGGTCTTCAGCTGGGTCTCTTATCACAAAGAAGAATTAACAAGGGGAAAAGTGTTTATTAAGCCATGCAGCGCACATGATGTGGGAGAAACCTGCACCAAAAGTCACTCAAGTGGCGGCTGTGAATTCCAGCTTATCTAGCATCTTCCACGGGGCAGAACACATTTTTGGAGAAAGGACAGGACACAGGGAAGCCGCCTCTGGGAAGGTAAACCGCTGGAGGGAGGTTTCTTTGCAGATTCCCCTGGTGCATCTCTGGGTTGATTAAGCGTCTGTCTCTAGTAAAAAGAATTTGCCTTTAGGTCAAAAAGGAGGAGGGGTGTGTGTGTGTGTGTGTGTGTGTGTGTGTGTGTGTGTGTGTGTGTTTGCTGCTCCTTACTTGCTTTTAGCTCAAAATAATTTTTATGTCAAAGAGCATATTTTGGGATGACATATTCTGGTGTCCTTCAAAGTCCAACTTATTAACCTGTTCTTTTATGGACTGTGCTTTTGATGTCATATCTAATTTTTTTGTTTGTTTGTTTAACTCAAGGTCACAAAGATTTTTTTCTCTATATTTTACCCTTCAGTATTTTTGTTTTTGTTTTTGAAATCTTCAGTACTTAGTAAAGGGTCATTCTTCTTAAGAATGAATGAATGATTTAAATGCCTTACTTTCTTTATCTTTTACTCTCCCCATCCTGGACTCCCTGCCAGCTGTTCTCAACCTGTGGGTCGCGACCATCGGAAAACACATATTGCATATCAGATATTTACATTACGATTCATAACAGTAGCAAAATTACAGTTATGAAGTATCAACGAAAATAATTTTATGGTTGGGGGTCACCACAACATGAGGAACTGTATTAAAGGGTCGCAGCATTAGGAAGGTTGAGAACCCACTGCCCTAGACCATGAAGCTCAACAGAGATTCCTTGAATCCTAGTCTGATTTTTGAGCTCCAAACCTGCTGATTTGTTTGCCTACAATTTAATGATTCCCAACCATTTGGTGCTTCAACACATTTTAAAATAACATACACCATTCCACTTTTATTTACATCCCCAACCTGATTTTAAAAATTAATTAAATTTAAAATTAATTTTCAATGTCAAATTTTCAGGAACTTCCTGAGATCACCAGAGACCATCTGGGTTACAACAGCTCCCCTCTCCGATGTACAGAGAACAGTCACTAGACAGGATGGGTTTGGACCAACCTAGACCAGAGGTATGAGATTGCGGCTGAGATAAGGACTGGGCTCCGATGTGAGACTCAGAGGTGGATCAGGCCCTTCCTTGTACATCAGTCACCTGCCACAACTGCTTAGCTCTGTATACATTTCCTTTATTAAAAAAAAAATAATTGATGGTCTTTTGTACAAATACATATAACATAAAACTTTGAAAACTGAGTTAATCTGAAGGGAATATAAAGGCAGAAAGTTGGAACTAAGATTGAATTTAGCAACAAAAATGTTGTAGAAGGGGTCAAAATTTAGGTCTAAGTTTTCTGGAAGTCAAAATAAGGAGAAAGATCTTTTTGTTTTACATCACAGTGCCCATAATATAGCAACAACCCAGTGTCTAAGAGAAGTTTGTTCCAGGAGAAGACACTGTGCAATGTCACAAGGAAGGTCTCCCTGACATTTGTCTAGCAGTCCCCATTCTGTCATCAGCTGGGATGAAATTTCAGCAGCCTCTCCACCCTGTTTCTCACAGTTCCAAAAGGAACGTGCAACTGGAAGCTCCCACCATGCTACTACCTCCCCCTTTCCCATCCCTTTTATTTTTATCTACTTGCCTAGAATATTTTGAGACAATGAAAACTGAATTTTATTCACTGACATTTGTCTAGCAGTCCCCATTCTGTCATCAGCTGGGATGAAATTTCAGCAGCCTCTCCACCCTGTTTCTCACAGTTCCAAAAGGAACGTGCGACTGGAAGCTCCCACCATGCTACTACCTCCCCCTTTCCCATCCCTTTTATTTTTATCTACTTGCCTAGAATATTTTGAGACAATGAAAACTGAGTTTTATTCTTCACATTTATTCAAGCTCTTATTATGGGCAAAACAGGGATTAAAACTGGTTTATTAATGAAATAATAATACATTTAAGAATTCCAAGAGAGGCAAGCAACCTAAAAGGATTTGATAGCTGGGTCTCATCACCTGGGACCACACAAGACCTCTTGTAGAGCACCTGCCAGCTATTCTGTCTGATGCTGAGCTCTGGAAGCAACTGTGATGAGCATAACACCATCCCTCCCTCATACAAAGAGCTTGCAGTCAGGTTGGGTGAAGAACTCATACAAAGTAACACACTCCTAGTCACATGCTGCTGAGGAGGTGAAGAGGAGTGAGACATGCATTCTTCCTGGAGACTGAAAACTATGTGAGGGTCAGGGGAGAGGGGGCGAATGAAAAGGCATTCTCAGGGGAGAGGACATGTGAACCCAGTCTAGATTGATGAGTAAGACTTCCACAGACAAAGGCACGGCCAGGAGTTGACATGACATGGGGACCAGTGGGTGGGTGTCAGAGGGAGAAGTTGGCAGAGATCAGGGTGACAGGGTAGGTCAGCCCCATGGCAAACAAGTCCCCTATAAAAGTGGAGTGACACATTCCAGTTAACATGTCCTGTCTAATTATTAATAACACCTCCTTTGGTCTCAACAACAGTTCAGATTTGGACTTTAGGGCGGACCATTCTGCACCCTTCTTTTTTTTTTTATCTCATGTCAAAACCTTCATTATGCTCCAATCGCCACCTCATCCCTCTTGGTGGGATTGCTGTGTCGGCAGCCCGGGGGTGGGGGCCCTTATTCCAGGAAATGAATTGAGACCATCAGAAACGGGCCTTCAGCTGCTATTGAAAGGATCCTCTCAGGCCAGAACTGAACAAACCTGAAAATGTGCCCAGCTGAGAGGAGTCCTATTCCATCTCTAAGCCTTACCAGTGCCCTGCCACTTAGAATTCATGTCCCTCATTCATTTTCCCATGTTTTGGTTGATGCTCGGACATTTTCACAAGGAGTAATTAATATTTTGTGGGTGCCTGACCCACTCACTGTGAGCCCTGATCATATATCTTTGTGTACCCAGCACTCTGCTGTTACTCACCTCCACATGTCACCATCAGAATTACCTCCACATCGTGCCAGGCACTGTACTAAAGGATTTCCTTGCATTATCTCCCTTAATCCTTGTGATAATAGTCATATTATCCCCATTTTGTAGCTGAAATAAGTTCTCATAAATGTGAGACAATTTGCCCAAGATCACAGGGTTAGTGGGCAGCTGTGCTGGGACTTCAGCCCAGGTCTGTCTGTCTTGATTCCCAGGGTCCCAATCTTAGTGCAGCGGCAAATCAGACCCCTAGCGTTAGTGTGATATATGTCAGATTTAGGAAGGTCAAGATGTTCCAAAGTCTTTGCATTCATTATCTCATTTAATCTCCTCAAGTAACCTAGGAATTTATCAGGCCAGCTCCATTTTATAGAGAACCAAACTGAGGCATGAGGAATTACCAGAGGCCAATATTTGACCCAGACCAAGCCCCTAGCTGCAGGAAGCCGTCCATTGTCTTCACTAGCAGAGAAGTGCAAACAAGGATCCCGGAAGGCTGGTGAACCTTGAACCCATGGCAAGGGCCTGAGTTATGCACCGATTGTCTAGTCCTGACAATGGGGGCTCAAGCTATTTCCTGATCGAATAGTCTCAGAGTAAATCCTTCTAATATTTACTGACCTTTAAGATAGTCTGTCTGCTACAGCAATTACCTGCCTCTTACCTACTAAGAGCTAGATGTGTATCCAAAGTTGAATAAAAGATTGGCGAAGCCTGGGCACCAGTGGAAGTCCTTCCCCTTGAGTTGGGCTTGCCCGCCTGGCCCCCCAATATTTCCAAATTATCTCTTGTCTCGTCTCTTTCATTTGTGTGCGGCCCCTCCTCCAGATCCTGAACCCTGAACCACGCGGGACGTGGGGGAACATACACACCTAGCTTTGCTGTTATGCTTAGTTTTCGGTTCCTGTGAAAGCTACTTAAATTCTCTGAGCCTCAGTTTCCCCTCTGATAAAATAGTTATATTCCCAGTTCCTAAAACTGTGTTTTGTTTTTTTTTCCACAGACTTAAATGAAATTATCTTGGCAAAGGGCAAATTCTAAATACTCAGTAGGTATGAACCATTCTTCTTCTTAATATTTGAGTCATGTGACGTTTAGCAAGTCCTATAATCTTTCTGAGCTTCAGTTTCCTCATCCACAGCATGAGAGCTACATCTTCTTCTTTGTGAAGATGAAGTGAGATGCTATTGTAAAGGTATCTGCATGCAGAGGAAGTCTCTATGAATGGTACTGACCACAAGTCTGGAGAAGGCTGAGGAATGTCACCAGTCTCTACTGTGCCCACACCAGACCAGCAGGGCCAGCCATCTCAACCATCGCGACATTATTTGGATTTCAATTGCCTCATCCTCTCAGGACTCAGAGTTCGCCCCAATGCCATCTCATCAGTATCCTGATATATTCCAGTTTGTAGCTAGAGTTGAAACCCCAGGAAGTAAAATGACTCACTTAGATCACCCAGGTCAGGAAGGTGGGTTCTTGTCCACACTGTGAGGCACCTAGGTCTAAGTGCCTTCATAATTAGCTCACTTGATAGGGGTACAAGGGTAGAATAAAAATATGATTTTTAAATTTCCTTTCTCTTTCCTTTCCCACCCTTTTACTAAGAATGTGTAATTGATTAATCAACAGTATATATTTAACCTATGTTCTGGCTAAGATTTTGTTGCAGTTCTCAGTTGACAGGCAGGAGCAAAAAGATTTTTAACACAGCCCTGAACTTACACAACTGGCTACCAGGAATATGGAGGCTGATCGATTAGGACTCAGAAACACCTGGATGCTGCACACCTGATCACCGCCTGACCAGTTTCAGAACACTGACCATCCTGTTCCAGGCACCAATAATAAAGACATTCATCAAGCCCAAGACCCCCACAGGGACTCAAATTCCAGGGCTGCAAACCACCAGAAACCCCCTTATACTCCCTGCCTACATTCCCTCCCCGCCCCCCTGCCCCCCTCCGATTTCTCTGTTCTGCTTTCCCTCTCCCTCCTTTTAAAAAACACCTACCTATGAGAGGGAAAGATGGGTTTTTGAGGACAAAAAAAGTCCCCCATCTCCCCAATTGCTGGCAATTGAAATAAACTTCTTCCCTTCACCTCAGCACCTGTCTCGCAAATTTGGTTTTCATGGCAACACGCCGTTGGAACCTGGCCAGAGGCTATTTCCCCAGTTACAGTCCGGCATGCCCTGTGCTTCCGAGGTTAGGGTTTAATGGGACACCGGTTTCCTGTGACAACCAGAGACCCAGACTCTGAAGTTAAATTCGGATGAGGTCTGTGTTCCAAGAACATTACAAAACTCAACCCTGTCCCCAAGAAACTGCTGTTGTGGGTTAGAGAATGGCAATTTACTGTGGCGAGCTTGAGCTAAGCAGGACGCCCAGAAGGAAGTCTCTTCCACGGAGACTGGTCAGGGTGAGATAGAGGGGTGGGGACGCACATATGCTTTCCCAAAGCTAAGCTTCATGGAACATCCACTGGAAACATCCAGTGGCTTTTAAATGTTTTGACTGATCACAATTTGAAATATATTTCATGTTGTGACCCAGTGTATTGGATACATATAGTAGTTTAAACCACAGAAAATAGCTATTTTTTTGTGTGAATCAAAAATGATTAGAAATGGGCAATTTTAGATGATCAACTTAATATATTACTAAAACAAAATTTCACAAAAATAATTCTTATATATTTATTTTATGCAATGCACTATATTTTCTATGTCACCTCATGACCCACAAGTAAATCAGGTCCTATTAGGAAAAACAACAGCAAAAACCTCTGACTTAGATCCAGCCCAAGAGAGAACTTTCAGGGTCCAAAGCAATGATTCTGAGAAAACAGGTTGATAGAATTCCAACTTCAAAGCTATATTTTATCTCTTCTATGTTCTATCCTCTCTATTGAGCCCCCCTGCCAAGGGTCACCAGGAATACATCTGTATTTGAACTAAGTTGGGTTTATTGGCTACTTACAACAAGGGAGGCAGCAAAACACGGGAACTCACCATGGAGAACAGTCGGGGCTTCTGGGCAGAGGGTGTTAGGGAAAGGGGTTGAGGAAGCACAGTTTAGTTCTACATTGTACCTCCAGAAAGTGGGGCTGATTCTGTGGTTAGTATCTTACCATTAATCTAGGTGGTGGAAGGAACAGAAATGGGCTAAAGCCTTAATTAGTAACCAGGCACAGTCGTGTTTGTTTTTTTCTGTTGCCTGTGCATTCAGACAGAGCTGGGGACTGCAGTGGTTTCAGTGGCCCCGTAGGCAGTCTGTTCCCCGGTCAGCATGCTATCCTGTATTTTTCCATAGACCTTTTTCTTGTAGTACCTGAAGGCATAGCTTACCCCCAGAGCAACAGCCACCACACCCACTATGCTCCCCAGGCAGGCGCCAACAATGGCCCCGACACTGGGCCCGGAGGCAGCCTGGCTCAAGTGGTTGGCTGGCAGAGACTGGTCATTGATGTTGGCCTGCCGCCAGTGGTCGCAGCCTTTCTGCCTCACCCAGACCTGCTGGCCACTGGAGTCCACCAGGACAGAGAGCCTCTGGGAGCAGCTGCTGTTGTTGAGCAAGAGGGGGCGGGGAATAAATGGGGGCATGCGGATAGCTACCTGCTCCTGGTCCGAGAGGGTCCCAGCCCTGAGGCAATAGAGGATTTGGCACCCATCGCTGAGGTAAGCCTGGTGTTGGCTGTACCCTTCTGGACACTTCATGGGGTGGACTGTGGGACTGTCCTGGTAGAACATCTCCTGCAGGAACCCAGCGCTCTGGCCCTTCATGAGGCCAGCCAAGGGGTTGCCCACCTGGCAGCTGAAGAAACCCCCAAAGGGAACTGCCTGGGCTGTTCCCATCTCTAAGTCGCTGCTGACACACACCCTGAGATCGCCAAAGAGTGTCAGTGGGTAGAAGTAGGAGGGGCAGGTCTGGCCTCTAGTGAGCGGGTTTGGGTGGTTGGAGCTATAGAGGCCTCCAAAGAGGAAACCTACAGTGGCGGGCAGGGAGGCCTGGGTGGGCGCGCACCAGGAGGCCGCTAGGCGCACCACGCTGCGCTGCTCCCGGAGGGTGCACACGGGCTGGCAGCAGGAGAAGAAGAGCCAGCACGTCTCGCACTGCTTCTGGCACACAGAGTGGGTCTTGCTTGATGTCTTCAGCTCGCTGTTCAGGACGCTGGCCGTGTAGTTGGCCGGGCAAGAGGCGTTGCCGGTGAGCGGGTTCGGGATGCGATAGTTCTGGCAGAGGTCACCCGCGTCCTCTCCGGACACAGCCTCGCATTCCTGGAAGACGCCCCCGAAGCTGTAGTTGGCTGGGCCGCCGCCAGAGCAGGAGCCGTCCTCCACGTTGGCCTTGGGATTGAAGGCGGGCTCCCCGCTCTTCAGGCAGCCGGGGTGCGCATTGACCTCGTAGTAGCGATAGATGGCGCTGCGCAAGGCGGCCGCCACCCGGTGCACCGCGGGCGGGGGGAGCTCCGGCAGCGCCTCCGGCTCCAGCAGCGCGGGCAGGGGCAGGCCGGACCTGCTAATGGCCACCAGCCGGTTGCCGATGCCCCCCTGCCACGTCTGCATGGTGATGCCCGGGTAGAAGGGCAGCCCGCCGTGGCTGCGCGTCTTGGAGGCCACCAAGTTGCGCATGTAGTTCTGGATGAACTGGTTCTGCTCCTGCCAGGAGGCCGCGGCCCCGACGTTGACCGTGCGGTAAAACAAGGCGGAGGCGGCCAGTGTAATGTTGCTCCCCTCTCCGACCTGATTGCCCACAAATTCCCGCTTTACCTGGTCCTCCTGCACCAAGGTAGCGCCGGCCTCCACGTGGGTGAGGACGTGCGTGCCGTATTTGAGCACAAGCATCTCCGCCAGGTACTGGGCCTCGCGGGTCAGGTTGTTCTCCAGGTGGTCGCTGAGGATCAGCAGATGCTGCAGAAAGTCAGGATGGAAGCCGGGGGCCTCCGGGGCCTTCACAGAGTAGATGTTGTGGCGGAGCTGCACTCTGGCCGTGACCGTCTCGTACTCTAGGCTGTACTTCCTGACGTTCTGGAAGTCCACGGAGAACTTACCATTGAGGCTGGGGAGGAAGGAGAGCTCGGCGTTGATGGAGGCCGCCCAGGTGTCGGTGTAGCTGAGCCACTGGTCCATGAGCTCGGCGCGGGTCTCCACCACGCTCTCGCGCCGTGGCACCACGTACACTTGGTCTGGGATCAGGTACTCGCCGTCCTCCGTGGTGCGGCACTGGGAGTAGCTGCGCCCCAGCACCAGCCCCAGTTCCACGTTGCGCAGGTTGTCCCAGCCGCCTCCAGGCAGTGCTCCCAGCACCGACACATTCAGTGCCTGCTTGCAGCCTTGGATGGCGGAGACTTCCTGATTCCCCATGCTGCCCCGCCCGGCTGAGAGCAGGGCCAGCAGTGATGCCAGACACAGGGCCATGGCTGGAGGACAGCTTCGCCTTGGCAGTCCGCTGCCCCTCAGCTCCTTCATGGTGTGGAGTCGCAGAGGGAAAGCCTTGGCCTGGGAGCTGAAATAGGCCCAGCCACGGGACAATGACTCAGTCCGCCTCAGGCCCCTCCCCAGCGAGCCGTCCTCTCCCCCAGAAGGCTCTCTCTGAAGTCTCCAGGAAAGAATGTTAAGCGCATGCCTTATAAGGAGCACCAAGGAGAGTGAAACACAGCAGATTCCAGGCCTGGGAGATACGGACTGGTCTGGTGAAGAGCTCGCTGCTGCCCTAGGGGCCTGAGAATTCATCTACTAGTATATGAAGAAAATCAATCTTTTTTTAAAAATATATTTTATTGATTTTTTACAGAGAGGAAGGGAGAGAGATAGAGAGCCAGAAACATCGATGAGAGAGAAACATCGATCAGCTGCCTCCTGCACATCTCCCACTGGGGATGTGCCCGCAACCCAGGTACACGCCCTTGACCGGAATCGAACCTGGGACCTTTCAGTCCGCAAGCCGACGCTCTATCCACTGAGCCAAACCGGTTTCAGCAAGAAAATCAATCTTTACCTATTGAACACCTGATATTTAATCATCGCTATTGCAAGTGTCAGGCGCAGATTGGGTGAGGAAGTGGCCTAGGGACACAGCCTGGGCCTCTCCCCAGGTGGCCTACCAGCCTGTGGCACTGTGGCTGGGAAGTCACATGTCACATTCACTCCAGGCTGATTTCCTGGAATAGCAGCAGATACTGCAGAAGTGAGCCCCTTCCTGGACTGTGGCCGGCTCGGGGCAACTCTAAGAGATGAGATGTGCCAATGTTCCAGAGTACTGGGTGTGGACAGGCAGAACAGAGTTTCTAAAGGGGGGCTTAGCATATCCCCCAAACAGTCCAGGGCCCAGGAATTTTCCTCCTCCTTTTCCATCTGCTTGGAGCCCTCTAGAGACCCTCTTCCCCTGAGATTAGCCACTGCTCAAAATGAGACCCTGGGCTAAGTGCTTTATAATCTTACTAGAGGCCCAGTGCACGGGATTCGTGCACTGGTGGTGGGATAGGCCCGCTGTGGGAGGGCCGCTCATCCCGGTCTGCTCAGCAGCTGTGGACCCACCCTCGGAGCGGCTGCTCCCTGGTCCAGCATCTTGCGTGGAGCCAGAACACTCACCTCTCCAGGGGACCCTGTGGGGGCCGGGCCCAGGGACAATAGCACTGAGAGGCGGCGGAGTAGGCCTCAGTCCCGCTGCAGCCATGAACCTGCCTCCCAGCCTCTGGGGTCAGCTCTGCAAGCCCGGCTGCTGTGCTGCTCGGCCTGCAGGCTTCCAGAGGAGGCACCAGGGAGTGAGGAGGAGGAGCCTGGGGCGAGGAGGCGATGATTGCAGCCCAGGTTCCTGCCCATCAGCCAGGGGTTCGAACTGGAGCAGCCACTCATCCCGGTTAGCCGAGCGGCACTCCCACTGTGGTAGCACACTGACCACCAGGGGGAAGCTCCTGCATTGAGCGTCTGCCCCCTGGTGGTCAGTGCACATCATAGTGACCGGTCAACCAGTCATTCTGGTCGCTCTGCTGTTCAGTCTCTGGGCTTTTATTATATAGGATATTAACTTCTCAGCAGTCTCTCACCACGCATTAGGAAACTGAGGCCCAGAGTCACAGTCAGGTACACGATGGAGCCAGCGTTTG